CCTCTCCGGGGCGAACACTCCCACTCAGGCCTCCAGCACTTCCTACCTGGGCTTTGCAAGTCTGGAGGAGAGCGTGAAGATAGGGGGTATATAAATTGGAGTCACTCTAACTGAGCTGCTGAAAGCATTAACATTATGGAAGTTGTTGCACGAACAGAGACTCTATTCTTGTTCTCGCTAGCCTGGGAACTTAAACTTTTTTGAACTTTCCAGTCCTGCGTTAATGCCTAGATATACATCCGGGCCTGCAGATAACTTAACACTCTTAATTACCCCCGGCAGGAGCCCCATATCCAGGCCATCCAATTACACCCTGGAGAACTCACAAATATGTCCACCTGACATCCATTACCCAGACCCCCGGACGTGACCAGACCTCCTGGTATCCACCTTCTGGGCCATTTGGGATCCATCATCCAGACCATCCGACATGTGACCGAGAACCATCCTGGACGAATCCTATAAGGCTAAGAATGCAGGGCTGATAATTCTTAATAATGCACTCCTTACTAGAAGAGCTTCTAACTTTTCTTTCTTCTTTGGAACACTATTTGGGTTTCTGCTTGAATCAGTGTTTCCAGAATAACTATTCTTTTTGATCTCAAATAAATGCTTGTTGCCTTTCACTTTGGCCTTTTATTTTTAGGTTAACAGTCTCTTAACTGGCCTCCCCAACTCCAGTCAGATCCCTGCAAGCCACGTTCCGCACGGTGCCAGCGTGCCGTGCACAGCACACACGCTGAGCCCCTCAGAGGGTCCCCAGCACCTGGCCACCAGCCGGGCTCCTCAGCTGGGCATCCGGGTCCTAAACGGCCCATGCCAGCCTACTCTGCCCCACCCTGACATGTACGTGACAAGCTAACAATTCCTGCTGACCGCTAGTTGTCTTTGCTTGGAACATTCTCAGCTCTGACTGACTGGAAAACTCCTTCAGTATGACTTGATGAAAAACAATTAGGTAACTTGAATATCTAATTTTAGAAAAAAGGGAATCCTCCAAAATATGAAGTAAGGTCTACACACAAAGCTATTTATCACAGCCTTACAAATAACAGCAAAAAAAGGGGTATGTGTGTGTATAGGGGGGCAACTTAAGGGTCCAAAAATAATAAAGTAAACTATGGTACATGGGATATTATATAACAATTAAACATGGTGTTGACCAAGTTTTAAAGACACGGAAATGTTTATTCTGGAAAGGACTTAGAAGATGTATGCAGATATCTAAAAAGATGCCATAGGAGCAAATGAAGAAAGGAAAATAGGGATAAAGACATAAACCAGGGTCAGAGATGGGGCTATAGAAACACCTTTCGGCCGTGTGTGGGCCGCCACTCCGGCCCTTAGCTCGTCGTCAGCAAGCAGAGAAAAAACCCGCCGGCATCACCATCCGGTCTCCACAGTATAAAAACATCCCCCTGTGGGGAGAAATGCAGTTATTCCATCGGCGAATCGCTGTGGGGAGCCCCCTGGAGGAGAGTACGAAATACTAAGATACAGGGCAGGTTTCCTAAGGGTGATACATACTGACATACTGGATTAAAGCAGTGGCCATTGCACCAGCCAACTCAATCCCCCCGTAAGGGGCCAAGAGGCATAATGCACGTTTTTAGTTTTCTGTGAGTCTACCTTGTTGCAGAAATAGAATTCAGAGAAATAGAAGGACTGAAGTACGTTTCAATTAATCGTCCTCTAAATAACTTTTTCGTCATACTTCTGATACATTTAAGGAATTTAAAGTTGTATTCATTGAAACATACCTGGAGTTAAGCTAGTCTAGTGTAATTAAAAATAGACTCATTCAGAATGAATAATTAAGGGGCAGGAGTGGAAGCAGAGAGCTTAGTGAGAAAGCTCCTGCAGAAAAACAGGAAAGAACTGAAGGTTGTAATGTCATAGTGATAGTACTAGGAACAGTAGTAGTTCTAATAATAGGAGTAATGTCACATTATAGTGTAATAATAGCAATAATAACAACAGTATAAATATGTATAATTATCATTACTTGTTGGGTTTTGAATTGAGTATGTAAAAATCAATTTCTAGTTCGATAAATTAGATTGTTTAATCAAAATCTAAGATCCTTCATTGGCATTTTCTTTTGTTAATAAATGTGAAGCCTATATTAGAAACACAATGCACGCAAAGCTGGCACCCTCTCCTAGATCCTAAAAGTTTTGGTGGCACTGTCCTACTCTGTTCCTGTTACCATGGAGATCCAGGGAAATGGAATCTGCCTTTGACTTCCTACTCACTCCTGATCATATTCTGGCTACCAATCCCTTCACGGTCATTTTAAAATATTTTAAAGAGTTTATTAATTTAGTTAAACTAGAACTTGTAAAAGCAAGAATAGATTCTGAATATCATAGGTCTGTTGTTAAAGAAAACTTGTACTCGGAGCCGGTAGGGATGCATGTGCACGACTTCACTCTAATTATCACCATGACTACAGATAGGAGGGGAAATCATTGATTAGTTCCTTTTGTGCAAGGTCCTCTGAAAGAAACAAAAAAGAGAATGACTTTGCAAATATGGTGGTACCAGAGCATCCATCCCTCAGTGATATGGAAAGACACCCTACATGTCAACAACAGAGCAGAGATGTACCCAGTGTGTCAGGAGTAAGGAGGACACAGGAAAGAGTGTCAGAGAAGGAAGACAATACACTGGAACATTTTTTGAAACAGTTTTGACTCCAAGGAGATGCAAAGAATTCTGTGGGTGAGTCAGCCTAGAAATAATGGGAAACAGAGTCTATGAATTTCATAGGAGCAAAGGCTTCCTAATACCCCAGAGCAAATTATCTGGCAAAAAAGCCAATGCCAGTGCATTTGTTTGGTAACATCCATTAGTGCAAACTGGAAGATAGGAGCAACAGGCATAAAAAAAAATCTTGATTTTAAAGTCAGCATGGAAAAAAAAGTATGTGCTCTTCAAAGAGTGAATATGTGTGGCGAGTCTAAGATTAAACAGTCATTAAGCATAACCTGTGTTTGGGAATGTGCAATGCATTTTGCTATTTAAAGTAATGCCCACAATAAGAAAATAAAAGCATATGGACAGGAAGGAGCTTGAAGCAAAAAGAATCAAGGAATGAGTGGAGAACCAAATAATGATGTAAAAAGGAAAAGCTTGAGGCCAAACTGAACCGGCTGTAAAGTTTTGTGTGTGTGTGTGTGTGTGTGTGTGTGTGTAAGCACATGCAATAAATATTAAAATGCTATTTTTTCTTGCATAATATTTCTAAAATATTTTACTGTAAAAGGAGATCTGGACTGATCCATCATGACAACCAAAATACTGCTAAAGCCATGTAATTTGTCATAATTAAGAATTACAATCAGCCAGATGTTACACAACAGGCCACAGCGAACGGAACTGAGATACGTCTGTGGCTGGGATGCTATGCAGCCTCCAGCAACTGGGGGCAGTGGCATGGAGCTCTGAAGGAACTAGCTCTTTCATCCTGCATGGATTCCAGGGCTAAGGGAATGCTGTGTCTAGTTTTTAAAACATTTTCTTAATTACATTTGTGTAAGTTCATACATATATTTAAAGTAGGAGCAGCCTCACAGGGCTCTGAACAATCTCCAAGAAATAGCATGAAGGATAGCACTTTTCCCGCTTCTAACTACCAGGTTTGGGAACCCCGAGTAAAATCTGCAGAGATGAAGGAGGCTATGCTGAGAGGCTGTCTGTGGCTCACTTACTGCCATTCGCTGCTGGTATTTCTGGAAGTCACCAAGTAAACACTAAGTATAATGTCGATAATGTATTGTACCCTCTTTTGGCAGAAACTACAAGTCTTTTTGTGGCCAGTCTACGATTTTGTCTGAGGGATAGCCAACCATCTATAAATGAAGGGAAGGAATCCCACTCGGAGGCCTTGGCTAGGCAGCCCGCCTGCACTTTCTTCTCACCGGGTTTCCTAATGATCAATTTGCCTAAAAGCATTTCAAGTGTGATCCATTCCCCTTGAGAGTTTCTGCATTTATTTGAGTATCCTGGGTTTTGTTTTTTGTTTTGTCACTTCTTGGTCGTTGTGAGATTATTAAACCGATTCCTCTAATGACATACTTTCTTTCTTTCATATTTCTAATAAATAGTTCTTAATGATGCACTGTTTTATGAATAAATGGATTGTTTTACACCTTTGTGTGTTTTTCTACTTTATTTACTTAAGTACTCTAAGACTTTTTAAAGCCAATCTGTTTTTGAGTGAGGACCATTTCGTCAAGGCGGAATTTAATTTTTGATTTTAAAACACTTGCACAAATGCAGAAACACTAAAAAGGGGTTTTTAATTATAGGGGGACGACTTTTAAGGCAGCTTGGAAATAATGTAATTACAATTTAAATTTATTTAATTTTAACTGTAGAAAAAGAATTCAGACACTGTAAATTTCCACAGGGAGAGGGGACGGGAATTATATGAGAATTATCGGGGTAGTTTTGCCACCTCTGTGTGCCGGTGCTCTTTCCCATCGACTCTAGACATGTGGGTGGGGGTGGGGGGGTGGGAGGGACTATCACATTCTGTTCCTGTTAGTAAAAACAAACAGACAAAAAAACTAGGGAAATGGAATCTGCCTCTGGATTTCCTATACATTCTTGACTATATTCTGGCTGCTGATCCTTTCATGATCATTCATAAAACATTTTAAAGGTTTTCCTCATTTAATTAAAATAGCACTGCAAAATCGAGAATTGATTCTGAATATCACAGATCTGCTGTAAGAACAACTTGTACTGGGAACCCCATTATCAAACTGTATCATGAGGTCCTGGTTCACAGCAGTATACTTCCTTTGGTGCAAAGAGGATCAGAAAAATATTCCAAGGAGAAAGGTTACACAAAAAGAACAAGTTTTCGGTTGTTTGATCCTGAACCACAGAAGCGGCAGTGTTTGGGCAGCTGAACCTGACAGGTCTGAGCCAGAGGGCGGCGGGCACTCACCGCACCGGCCCAGTCAAAGTAGGCAGCCCCCGGGACTCACCGGCAGGGCAAGATCCGCACCACATCGCTGGGCTTGTAGCCTTCAATACACACGGCACAGTTGTCAAAGTCGGGCTCTGTTTCCTGCAACAGAGAAAGTGTGCATGAGCCTACTTTTGTACCTGTGACTTGTGAAAATGCCCAGCAACATGCCAAAGGATGGCATCCCTTTCAAGAACCAGGCAAGCTTCAGCAGCCCTGGGGCTGGGAGGGTTTCTTATCAATCACTGGCTGAACATTGGCTGAATGTCCATTCCTTCTGTCCTCTACTTTTTTGTTTCTGGGTTCCCCTGCTGGCACTTTTGTGAGGCCACAGTGCTTTATGGTGACATATCAAAAACTCGAAGATGAGAAGCACTGTTTATGGAAAAATATCTGAATGATATTTTATCTATCCATTCCTCAGGAATCTAATGTATAATCTCTAAAATAGGGCTTCTACGTTTTCTTCCCAAGTATATACGTCCCTTTCAGTACTCCATTAAATATTACTTATATAATAGTCCTTATTCTTTTATTGTTTTATGTCTCAGGGGAAAAAGTTGTGAAAAAATACTTTATACTCAGTAGTGATTTTACATGAATGTCCTTATATTAATAAGTTCAATTGCATTTTTACATAGGTGAAAAACAGCAGCACGTAACTAGGGAGACAAATCAATCTTTTAGACTAGAGACAACACGAGGGACACACGTGCGTCATGAATCCCTAACAAGCCCTCAGGAGCCCCCAATCCACGTCTGCAATCCACTGCTCCAAACTTTCTGGGGTGAAGAGAGGCCTTCAGAGGCTGCAGGCAGGGACAGTGCCACTTTGCTGTCCTCAAGATGTGCTTCCGCTTTTGGCTTTAGGCCATCATTCTACAGTGAGGGAGCCTGCCGCGACGCCTGTGGGGTTCTAGACACTACACTTCTCGGGCACTAAACACGCTCCCGGCATGTACTGTAGATGTAAGTAGAGGGCATCACTCAGCACATAACATGGTCTTCCCTGCAAAGATTGATGGGAAAATTTTTTCAAGTCCTAATACAGGGACAGTCATTAAAACAAAACAAAACAAAACACCACGTGGGGCACAGGAATAAGGTAATTAGGTACCACTTGAAAATTGAATATTATTTCCTTCTTTGCATTGGCTATTAGAAAGCCCCAACCTACATTCAGTTATATATTTTAGGTAGTGCATTTGTATACTAATTTCATCCCAACTTTATATTTTTCCAAACTACTGTGTTGTCCTACTGTGTGCACTTTATAAAGTGCTTTAAATTATATTTAATAAAGGCAGGTATAATGCCAGATACTTAGGGGAGAGCTATCAGCATCCTTCTCTCTCTTCTTTCCCATCCTTCTCTCTCTTCTACCCTGGTGGCAAGCGAAGCCTGGAGCTTGTTTGAATAGCTCCTCACCCGAAAGAAAAGAGGCTATTACCTTGTCACCCTTCTTGATGGTCCTGACCTGGAGTTTGCTGATCGCCTTCTTTGCAGCATCTCCTAGTCGGCGCTGAAACATCAAAAGCTGCTTGTTAGTAATAAAGGCCTGGAATTCTTGACTTAGTTTCTGATAACACTTAATAAACCAGGGCAGCTGTCTCTGGAATCGTGCTCAAGTGGCATGCCTGCTCCTGAAGAGGTCGGGAAGAGGTGCGCTGGTGACGTGGGTGCAAAGCGGCCCCAGGACCCGAGGGTCTGTGAGGGAGGAGCTCCTCACGGCCACTGTTAGGCAAGGGGCACATGGCGTGGAAAGACCCTGCCCCACAGTGACTTTGGTGCAGGTTCCATCTGTGCAGACTGGCAAAAAATAAGTACAAAGTTTAGTAATTTGCCACTCTAGCCACTTCATTTGTGACACAGAGGGAGTTAATCTGGAGTAGTTAGAATAAACTTCATCTCCTCTTTTTTCACAATCAGGGTTTATTGTTGGTATACTCCTTTCAATTGGAAATTTTAAGAGATTTCTTTTGCTTATGTAGACCCAAACTCGGTTTATATTTTGTCTGCACTATCTGATTACATCACATTCTTATATGCCAATTTTGCCTTCTTTGTGTATGTTTAAGTTTGAATATGGTATAGGGAAATATGTATACATGTTTAGCTTAACAAATAATTATAAACTGAATCTCTACTTAACCACTGTAACTCACATCAAGAAATCCTATATTATGCACTATTTTTTAAAAATAAACTTACTTTCTAATGAGCGCTGTGATAATGCAATGAGAGACAAATGTGAGAGACAAAGAGTGTGGGAAAAGAATTAAGTATTAATCTGTCAAGGAAAAATATGATTCGCTTCTGTGCTTGTGAGTTTTTAACGTTATATTACCTTCCTGGGTACATGTGCTATTTGTTAGAGACATGTATTTGCAGCACTAAAACATATTTGAAGGACTGAGATAAATGGGACAAACATTTCAACAGAATATGCATTTGCTTTCACTCATTTTGTTCTTCTTCAAAATAACACCAAGCTTCTTTCTTGTCTTTAAAACAGTGAACATATACTAGTAAATAGTTAATTTATCCTAGGTACCATGCTAAAGCTGTATGTGCAGTATCCTTTATCTTTACCCTAACCCCATGAGAAAAATATTATTTCATAGACTGAATTGAGACTTAGAGTTTATGTAAATTGTTTTTAATATTATAGTGTTAGTAAAAGGTGAGTTGGAATCTGAATAAAATTAGGTCTGACTTCAAAGCCAAAGCTAAGCTACCATTCGTATTATTCACCATCCACCCAATTGACCAACCATCCAGTCAGCCAACCAATCAACTTCTGCCCACACAGCCAAATAACCAATCAGCCAGCCAGTCAATCAACTCACATTTGGCCAACCAGCCAGCCAACCAACCAACATTTGGCCAGCCAGCTAACCAGTTAACCAACCATTCAGCCAACCAGCTAACCAACCTGCTGGCCAGCCAATCAAAACCTCTTATATACCTATCATGAGATACTTCTTTTGACACACAGTAGTTACAGTAAATAAGTAGAAAAGGGGATGTTCTCCTTGTTAATTTACTTTTTTCTTTGATATTAAATTTTTAGCTTTTAAAATAGTCACTGGCATTTTTAACAGGAGAGTAAGTTTTGTCTGTTTCCTAAAAGGAGACCTATATACACTTGTGCGGAAGTCCACGAGTAGCTAGCAAACTAAGGTGGCAGGAAAAATAGGAAGAATCTATAATAATAAATACCAATGGGGGACACAGAGTGAGAGGGAGAAAAAAGAATTGAGGTAAAACTAAATAGGCTGCAATCCTCTTTCCTCTCCTCTTCCTCTAGTTATTGACTAATCATCCTTTTGACTCAACCCAAGCCATTTTGCGGGGAGCACTTCCTACATGTCTTTCAGGAGAGCAGATTCCTCTGGTTTAAACCTTCACAGCACTTTGTCCCTCTTCTCTATGGCACTGTGACAATATCTGCTATTTTTAAGATCAATCCCAGTTGCTTTTCTTTAATGTAAGCTCCCTGAGGACAGGCCTGTGTACATGTTTACTTCCCACTGATATGAATAAAGCTGCCTTCGGTAATTGACACTGGATTATTCAACACATATTTCAGATCACTTACTTTGTCCCAGGCACAGCTCTGGGTTTTGAAAAAAAAAGTGGTTGTGAAAATTCCTGCTCTCTGTAGTTTACTATCTAGTGGAAACTTCATTAATGGTTGATGAGTGAATACAATCTTCAACCAAGAGATTTTTCTTTTCAGCATGGAAAACAACCTGAGAAATTTTTAAGAAGAAAATACATGAACAAACCACAAGTAATACATGTGGTTAGGCAAGCAAAGCTATAGTCCTGACTTTGGCAAAACCAGCCTGTCTCAACTAAGAGCTGGTTTTTATTGAAGAAGCTGGGAGCAAGAATTGAAAGGCACAGGAAAGGGGCGACTAGTTATGGGGAATAAATCCAGCAAACCTGCAGAATACTATATTTATAATAAGAGATCTGGACCTAAAGAAAACAAGTATTGATTGTTTTAATTTTAAGTTATGAACTCAGATATTTCTGTAATGTAATCGTGTTTACTTGGTATTGTATAATATCTGGCCCCTATTCAATCACTTAAATTGCTTTTTGTTTTCAAAAGCTAAGCAACACAATTAGGCAGCAAAAATTATTTTCAGACAATGGTCATATATTATACTCAAAGAAAGACCAACTTTTTAAAAGGAGGTGAACTAGAAATAATGTTTTCAAAATTTAATTTATTTAAAATAATTATTTTAGCAAATGAAATATGCCCTTCTTCAAAGACAACGGGGTAGGGGAGAGGACTGAATGTGGGAGGTTGGGGGTGGGTAGGGCAGGGGAGAGCAATGGGGGAAAAATAGGGACAACTGTAATCGAACAACAATAAAAAAAAGGAAAAACATGAAATATGCCCTTCTTAAATGTGAACATGTAAGGTCAATTCAAAGACTACTTTCTACCTGGTCCATGTATTTAACTTTACTTTTGGCTATATATGAATAAAAATGGGGTATTTAAAGTATTTTTTAAAATTTTTATTTATTTGAGAGAGAGAGGAGAAAGGGGGAAGAGAGGAGAAAAAGACAGAGAGAGAGAGAGCACGCACAAGCCTGACTGGGGGTCAAACCTGCAACCTTGGCACCTTGGAAAGATGTTCTAACCACTGTGCTACCTGGCCAGGACTAAGAATGGGGTATTTAAAATGTATATGTGTCCCTTTCCCTCCTCAGGGGGGAAAAAAAAAGCCTTTTCCACACCGTTTTAAAGGAAAATGCAAGCTGCCTTAAAAAAAAAAAAGAAAGAAAAGAAAATGGTGTGTCTCTTCAGGAAACGTTAGGGGATTATGGCCCGCAGCAGAGTTCCTGGCTAGGGGATTGACGGTTAGCAACCCCACGGCAGGCATTCCGGGGACTGAGGGCTGGGAGGGTAAAGGAGTTCAGCGGAGGATAAACCCGTTAGGGAGGTGGGCTTCTCAAATGAGCAGAACTAACAGAAGGAGAACTTAGGCTAAAAAAGAAAATTGATCAAGTCCTCTCCACCTCAAGTCTATAAAGTCTTCCTCCCTGGAAGTCCTGAGAAATCAGATGATTCACCAAGGGAGGGAGTCATGTTTTCTTTGATCATTCTGAAAAAATGACATAATGCTATCCCTTTCTCTTGAAAGGCTTTGAGTCCAACCTCATTTCAGATGGTAACGCACAGACACCTCTTTGCAGGAGGAGCAGGGTAATGTTTTGTGAGTGGCTGATGATGGATAAGATAGTCTGACCTGCTAGGGGTACAACAGATGTTCTAGATAGCCCAGAGAAACAGAAAAATCTGCTTCCGAGATACATATGATAGTGATAAACCTGTGGCACGCTAGATTTTTCAGTAGGAGTCTAGATTAACAAAATAAGGGGGAAAGCACCATAAAGTTTTTTAAAAATGCTATTTGCATGAAGTCACATTTTGTCAGTAAATGCACATCTCTATTTCTTTTTGACATGAAAATGACACACAGAAATACTGACTCATGAATAAAAAAGCAGACTTACTTTCTAACTAGTATTATTGGATTTCCAAAATGCAAACTAAAGAGATAATGCGTATAAATGTAAATGGTCTCAATGAAATGGGCCAAGTAAAGCAGTTGTGGCTTTTGTAGTTGGTGTCTCCTGCCTCTGGGTTTTTAACTGCACCAAGTGTAAAGGAGAGGAAGACCGAGGCCTGCTCAAATGGCCCTGTATGGAGCCTGAATAGAGGACCAGAAATCTATCACAAAACACATCCTTGCCTTTGTGGTCCTCAGAAATGCAGACAAACAAGATACCCATGCAAGGCGAAGGGACCCCGTCAGGTAGATTTAGGGATCGCATTGGGTTCTAGAGGCCTCTTGTTTCAGGGGGCTTTCCCTTGTCCAGGAGGCCTCTACAGATTTTCTCCAACCCAACCAGATTCAAATCATGCTTTTCACTAAAGATTATCAGGAGTTGGGCCATTTTAGTAATTAGATTTATCCATCAATTTAATCTAAATGAGTATAGGAAAGTATTTACCAAGGTTGTTGGTTCCTTGGCAACAATGAAGATAAATGGCTTTATGGAAAATAAAAGCAGAACCATTTATTAAAAGAGTAAAGTCCTATATACATGCCAGCAAGGAGGGTACACAATGACATACTCCAGTCCAACCCAAGACGCAGAAACTAGTGACCTTCTAAATATTTACGAAATGGAGAAAAATAAGACACTTTCCTCTGCTCCCCTTCTGTATTATAAACAAACATGCAGTGAAGATGATACAAAAAAAAAAAAAAAAAAGCAACCAACTAGGAACAGAAGGAATCCAAAACAGCATCAAAGTCGAGTTTATGTTCTATCTCATTTGACTGAATAATTCTGTAATTCCTGATAGTGGTATTATATAATCATGGTTATCATCACCACCATCAAGGAGAAAGAGAACAAAGTGTTCTCATATTCTAGGTGACGAGAGGACACTGGAGACACACACAGGGCTGGTCCCAGTCACCTGGAGCCTCATGTGGCCTCCCCCCGATACATAGTAAGGACCCTCCTGGGCTTGGCTGATGCGGCAGAAATCATGGCACAGCCTGTCCAGCCCATCCAGTCCATTTCTGTGCTGTAGATCACCGCTCCGTAAAGTTAGGAAAATGGGTAAGAGGCTTAGGCTGACTGTTCCGACAGCCGCGGTGACCCTGTCCGTGCACCCATGGCACGAGGTAAAAACATCAGGGTTACTTTTCGTGGGAGGTGTTGTAGAGTAGGCAATGGCTCGGAAGTTAGAAGATCCAGTTTTTAATCCTATTTCTGCTCCTAACTGTGAGACTTTGGCCAAGTCCCTGAAACATTCTGGACCCCAGATCCCCTTACGAGTAAAATTAGGTTAGTGGAGTCACGTCATTTCCAGTTTCGTCAGCTCGGGATTCCCTTCCACACAGAACAGAGTTGGGAGGCAAAGATCTTTTCAGACCTGAATTATCTAAACACGGCACATGGACGGCTGACTGCCTCACTGCACTCTTCACGGATACAACACACACCTGGCCTCTCGGTCTCCCGAGGGCTCTGCGTTGTCCGCAGGGAACATCAGAGGCCATTTTGGTTCTGGCTCTTTAGGAGACGGAAGCCTCTCTCTCTGCCTGTAGATCTGACCCTGGGACACTTTGCATACTCCTTTCCCTGCTCTGCCTCTCTTCCTGTGATGTTCAAGTTTGTCTTACAGATCAGACAAACTAGCTCCAACATAACTCAGGCCCCATATGTGCAAATGAAATCAAAGGGCCATGGGCCATGAACATGCAAATACTAGGAAAAGATATTCTCAGAGAGAGGCAACTCTTTCAAGAAAACTTGGCTGAATGTCATTACCAGGCCTCACATAAAACAACACAAAACAGGCGGGTTTCCTGGGATTAGCCTCAAAGGCAATACTGTTTACCAAAAACAAACAAAGAGCCTTACACAGTTCATCTGATCTGCCCACCTTTGAAAGAGCCGCCATCTATTGAGAGTCCTGCAGTTTTCAGGACACACACCCAGCCCTTGTGCCTGAGATGGGATGTCCCAGGAGACCGTGAGACGGTGTCCCAGAGCATCACCAGAAGGCAGGCTCACCTGCCACAGCCATGGCAGGAATGCTGCGTGCTGGCTTTGCTCCGCCACCTGCAGGGTTTCTACAAACAGGAGATGGATTAGCAAACAGCAGCCAAAGTGGCACATCTGGGGAATGAGGGGAACCTGGCTTCTTAACCTCCTGGTGGGCAGGGGAAGGCTGCCCACAGAGTCCATCAGTGCTCAGGCCAGGCGTCTGTCCCGTACCCGGCTCTCCATCACGGAGTTCCAGAGGGTGTCACTGGAAGGAGGTGGTCAGTTGGGCAGAATGAAGAATCCTGAGCCTTGTCCATGGAGCCCCCAGAGACGGGGAACCTTAGGCCAGAGACCAGAAAGGCCTAAACAACCAATCCTTACTTCTAAAGCCAAGAAGGGCCAAATTCAAATAGAAGAAGGTTTTCAGTGTTACTTGTACATTTTTTTTGTAGGAGAAAACATTCGTTAATGGCAGCTAGTTCAATAAATGTAATGTATGCAGAAATTGAACTGTTATACAGTCATTAGAAATGAGAAGGCCCTTTGGCCTGAGTGTTGATATATATTAATCTCCAAGATACAGTGAAAATTAAGGGTACAGAGTTGAGTGTTTGCTACTATGTGTTCATACACACACACACACACACACACACACACACCTCAGCACCCACATGTGTTGACAAGCACATAAAATATCTCCAGAAGAGAAGAAATTCCAGGCAGAGAACCAGGTAACAAGAGGCACACATGAGAAGGAGATTACCTTTCATGTATATCATTTTATACATTTTGCAATGTATACCATGTATATGTGTCATCTATTCCAAAATTAATTGCTTTTTAACATAGCTTTTATTTCTTTATCTCCTTTTCTTCCCTCAAAAGAAGGAAATTCTGGCTCTTCCCAAATTATGCTGCTGCTATTAGCACAATCTCAGCTCACACTCCCTCTCTCCCTTCATCATGTGCCTGAATAAATAATTGCCCGAAAAATGAGCAATAGGAAAGTGGGACGGAGCACCTGCATCTCACAGGACGGTACCAGTAAAACAGCCACGTATGTATTTAGAAAAGATCTGAAAAACTACACAGCAAATAGTAAGTGCTTATCTTGAGTCCGGGTATAATAGATGATTCTGATTTTGTCTTGGTATTTTCTGTGATTTCCAAAGTTTGCACAATAACCTGTCTTTCTTTTGTAATAATTTCAAAGTTTAAAAAAAACCCCACTTTTTGCTCCTCACCTGGTTCCTGTCCCTGGCATTTGCGTACCGAAACCTCTGGATGTAGTAAAAGACCAGCCATGCGAGGGAAATGATCATCAGGACGATGAAGGAGATGGAGACAAACACCACCGAAGTGCGGCTCACGTATTTCTGCAAGTTGCGCGTTCCGATCGTGATGTACATCGTCACGGTGATGTTTCTTTCCAGCAGGCTGACGATCTCCTTCCCTTTTATCTCAGGGATCATTATTGCCACGATGTCTTCTACGCCTGTTGTAAGAGGGGCAAGGAGGGGGCCATCGGGGGAGGGGGTGAGACGGGGGGGGGGGAAATAGCAGTGAAATGTCTGGATCAAGTAACATGCAGCCAAATAATGACATTATTTTTGACGGTTCTTTGCCAGATTGAATATCCAGGTCTAATTCTAAGATTTAACAGCCAGAAACGGAGTCAAATTCTCTCTTTCCTCAGCGACCTTGGGATGCTGCTCTCGTACGCGAGAAAAGAACCTAAAATGAACTCATAATTTGGGTATCAGTGAAGTCATCATCAAGCTGCCCTTGCAGTGCCCAAGGTGCTGTTGACCCTGGTGAAGGTGGACCCTTCCCAACTAGCCCAAGTTTGCAGTACCATGTTGCTGACAATGACCCCCCCACCCAGCACTCTGTATCCTGTATCACAAGGATAAAATGCAGTTTTATGCCATCTGTCGGCACGCTTTCTCTCCCTCTGCCACTCAATACACTATGAATACTTGAGCACAGATTTTTATTTATCATTTTCAAGGCAACTTTCTCCTACAGTAAGTACCCACGCCATCTCAAATAAGGTTTCTTAATGAGCTCTAATATGATGTGTCAGCATAAAACAACGGTCTCAGCACTACGTTCTGCTCATTTTACCTAATTCAATGGAAACAGCTTGGGTATCCCCATACCAAGCAAGGGAAGATGGAGGCTGAACAGATAACCCTAGGGCGGTTTTGTCTCCACTCCTTGGTGCTCCCATCACAATACCCCTGTTATTGGACAGCTGGCCACCAGAGTGGCAACTTTCTTGGGGCTGAGTTACCTGGGTCATTGTCCCTATTCTTCATGACACTATGTGAGGCATAGCCCCTCGAGGAGGAGTTCTGGGCCTCGACATGGGTCTTTAGTAAGGATGTGATTCCAACTCCAAATGGACCAACTTGACATGTTGCTGTGACTGGGCCATGGACTAGTTTATCAGTTTCACTGGGATAGGTTCTCAGGGATCACTCGATTCCAATTTATGTCCACACATAGAATGAATTACGGCTGAATAAATACTTTAGAAGCTAACTACATACAAAGGTGTCTGTGTATGATATATCAACTACGTATTTTTTAAAGTTCCAAAAAGCTTTCTACTGGCCCAACTGTAAAATCACAAAGCCACATAATGTTTAGACTTAGCTGTTAACTTCTGGGAATCACTAGAACTGATGGTTTGAATTTCAACTCTGCAGAATTTACTGACAATTCCAATGCTTCTCTTTTCATGTTTACTTTGGCTAATGGCTGCCTGTGGTTTGAGGTTTTGCAAGGCATTAAAGCTGCTGGCAGGTTTTGTCTCTACAGAAATAACTTCGTCGTATACTGGACTAATCTGGCCTGGTGGGGCTCACCCTGGTGCTATAGCCAGTTTAGAGATGTTTAAGTAATGGTAGAATCATAACTTTTCACTTCATTTATACCCTTATTTATATATTTTTAAGTATGTCTATTCAAGGCTCTAGAATAAGATATTTTTTCTGACAAGGGGATTTTGGGGTTATTTATGAGATTTGTATGCTCAGACTTGGTACAAGTTTTATAGTTTTTAGTAGCCAAGTATTATTATTATATTCATTTATGGCTTCTAGTTTCGACACTCTGCTTAGAAAGCTTCTCCACCAAAGATGACAGAAATACTCATTTAAAATTGCCTTTCAAAATCTTTTCATTTTACTTTTCACATTTAAATCTTGATCAACCTCTATGTGATTTAATAACAACACAACAGGTATTGAGCTCTTATAATGTGAAGGGCAGAGAGACAGATAGAATGCAATTTCTTTTACCCCTAAATTCTTAGACATACTGTGATCTACTGTTGGATTTTATTTTACTGTTGGGTTGACCTATCTTTTGCTGAACCTACACCAGGCTATTTGTGTTGTCTACTTTTAACATACTTACTATCTGGTAGCCTAACTCTTCCTTCACTGATTTTCTCCTTACATTTTTCCTATTATCTCCTAATATTAAGAGCCCATAGGGTCTAACTGTAAAGAGTTGGGCTCTGAAACTAAACAGCTTGTTTCAAACCCCAGCTCAGCATTTTAAAAATAGGCAACTGAAGTTTGGATATCCACAAAGTTCTAAATTACTCATCATCCATTTCCAGGAACCGGAGAAAACATTTTCTCTTCCTGTAGGGTAAAGTATAATTAACTATTTTAAACACACTATCTGTGTTGCTTATAACCACTATTGTGTCTTCATGATATATGACATCCGCTTGGAAAGACCGAAAATGACAATGAGGACATTCCATCCACCTGGACTTTAACCTTATTCATTGCCAGTATTCATCATGAATTTCTAGGGCTGATGATAGTAAAAAAATAGATGGGATTCTAGGACTTTTCTCCATGTGTTTTAGGCTACGTATTGTGCATTTATCCCAGTAGAAATAGTCACTAAGAACTTAGGTGCATAGGGTATCCCTTAACAGTACAAAGTAAAGTGGATTTGGATGAATTATCTGACCAGTCTGATCAATGTACAAAGTCCAGGGCAAAACGCTACTGTAGGATTGAATCTGTTTCAATGAGACATGTGCACCAATGTGAGTTATCAGACAATTCCCTGATCTTTGCTTCATTTTGGAATGTACAGCTAGCGTTAGAAGCCAGCAGGTTGGCCCTGGGTTCACTGTGGTGTCCTTGCCTCTGTGGGCATTGCACACGGGGGTGGGGGCGCGGGGGAGGAGAGCAGGGCTGAGGAGGGCAGAGAGTGCTGAGAGCCCAGATGAGCCATCTCCTTCTGGGGAGTTAGTGCTGCCCGAAGTACCAAGGAGGCTCTGAGACACATGGAAGAGCAGTAAACAAGAAGCCTATTTTGTACGTGTAAGTGCTACAAACAGGTCTTGCTCCTCAGGCAATTCTGTGTTTACTGTGATGCCTGGTCTACTATCAATTGTCTCTTTTTGCAAAATTATGTCAGCGACCATCTATTTTCCTCCCAGAGGCAATTTACACTTCTGAGTGATCACTGTTATGCAATCACTGTGTCATCTGGAAAAGCTCGGGAGCCCTGCGAGGGAGTGTGCGACCAGGACGCCTATGAACGGGCTGCCAGACGAGCAGCAGGAGCACCCTGTGTATTTAGTGCCTCCTTTTCCCAGGAGAGCGCTCGATTGCCGTTACCTAATTTGATCTATGCAGATAAGTAAGGAATTAGAACAAAAGTTCAGAAAGAAATGTTTACTAACCAGGAAATCCTTTACTGATAAATTCAAAACGAGGTTCTTTAAACACTGCATTGATAGGCTATCTCGAGCAGCAGCATGGTGCTAGACATTTAAAGGGCCAGCAGCCCCAGTCCATCCTGTGCATCCTGCAGGGTGGTAACTCCCTCCTATAGGTTCATGGGAGCAAAACCCCTTTTTCAGCTCTCTGCATCCTCTCTCTCCCCTAATCTTTACTCAATCACTGGTGGTCCTTTAGAATCTAGGCAATATAAGAGAAGGTAGTTTCCATTTATAGATGTTTTCTATTTATACTTTTTTAAAAAAATAGTTAGCTCCTAATAACTTTTTAAAAAATAGTCAGCTCCTAATAATCATCTATTCTTAAGATGATAATGTTATATGAAATAATTTCAAAAACTGCCAAGTACCATATAAATGTAAAGTATTACCATTTTCTGCGTTCGTTTATAAATATTTTTAATAAACATAAATGCCAAAACCCTACATAAAGCATTCATAAATAGACTCCAACAATATAGTACAAAAAAAAAAACCCCACTTCATGACCAAGGTGAGACTTAGAAAGGGGAGGGTGATTTAACATTAGAAAATATACTAATGCTTTCTAGTGCATTAACAAATTAAAGGGATAAAGCATAAGATGATCTTGTGTAGCTAGCTTTCCTCCAATATTTGGTCTCTTACGTCTACAGTATTTGTGTTTTATCTGGGCACACACTGTCCAGCCAAGTGATAATCATCAGCCTCCCTTGCAGCTAGCTGTGGCTCTGTGATTGATACTTGGCTCTGAGATATGAGTGGAGATGACGTTAACTACCCCAGGGTCTTATCCATAAAGGGCTGACTATGTGCACTCTATGCCCTTGATATTGATCACTAATCATCTATATTTTAGGGGGATATATGTTCCACTGGTAGTCAGAAACACTGTCCACAAAAACGTCCTTTGTTGGTGAAGTGCATTTCAATTATGCCAGGATCGCTTAAGTGGAGATGTGTCCATACAGTCAGAGGCAGACACTCAATAACAACTAACTTTTATGAGATAAGAAAAATTGTTAAAGGAGATGCTAACCATAGCCAGTTTTACTTTCCTTGAATGGCTCTAGTAACTTAACTCTCCAAGTGTTGGTTCCTTAGCCACATTTGAGATGATTAAGGATTTACACTTAAAAAAAATCATATTTTTCCTGATTTATACATGTGCAGAATTTTCTGTAAATTTGTGATAACTGTAGGAGAGGTAATAAATATAAAAGAGATATTTTATTTATAGCTCTCACTGGTGGCATTTTCTTAGAACACAGTAAATCAGACTAAAAAGAAAACCTTATTTTTGTAGTTTTTGTGAGACAGTTAAGTGATTAAAAATGATATCATAGAGTTTAAGCTGAAATAAAGCAAATCATTGAATGCTATATTGCTTTTTTAAGACAATTCAGTTTTCATTAAGGCAAACAATCATGTTTAAAAAACTTCCATTTACATATAAAATTCCAATTTTATTTTGGACAAAAACCAATACACAGGTAAGTCTCATGAAGAAGTGAACTAGTGGAATCACAGGATAGGATACTATGAGACACCAAAATTCCTCATCATTTGTCTCTTCCTAATAATCTGATAAATGAAATTAAATAGCAGAATCATTTACCATAACTTCTAGCTGGGTGACCTTGGAAAATTTCCTAAACCTGTAAAATTCAGATTCCTTTAAAATTCTTTAAAAACTCTAATAGTAAATGTACCTGTTCCAAAGGGTTGAGTGAGGA